TTGTGCCTGTGAGGGGGACTTAAAAAGAGTTTTGGAGTCAGACCTCCACTGTCCTGTGTGTGTGTTTCAGAGAGAAAGATTCCTATCTCTGTCAGACACTCAGCCTCGTTTTTTTTTGCTCTTTTTTCTCAATTTATGTTGTCATTTTATCTCAGAATCCCACTAATAGCTCCCTTCTCGGCATCGAGCCGCACAATTTGATACCACTTTTGTGGGGGTACACGCAGCAGTACGAGCCGCATTAACGGTAATGGAAGAAAAATAAAGATATAAAGAGACATTCTATTGGGTGTAGATGCAATGCATGGAGGCAGTGACTGACTTGCATTGCTATGGGCAGGCCCCAATGAGTGAAAACTTTTTCTATAAGACATGGATTACGCAGTAAATAGAGTTGAGATGTATAATAATATTTACATCTGCAGATCAGTTGTTAAAATTGTGTTTGATACAAACATACAGTTTTATTGTTAGTTAGTTCACATTGTGATACTGTGTATTACTGTAGTGTTTGTTGTAAATCTATGAATGCCATGCAGGGACATCATGATGCAGAGAGTCAAAGTGGGGGAGAAACAGGAGCACACAAAAATGGAAAGTGAGACTGAGTTATTAGTGAGAAGCTAAGATATCTCTTAGATGTGAAAAGTATCATTTTTATTTACTCTTGTAGGGCAAACCGTTGCACTAATTTACAGATTTGTTCAAGAAGAACAAAACTTGTTTTTTAGATTTTATTTTTGTTGGTCAAACTACTGTATTGAGTTTAAAACTGAATCCAGTTTTACTAGCTGTTTTTTTATTTAGGGTTTTAGAAAAAGGCAGAACCAGTTCCATTGCCAGTCAACTTATATCAGTGCATTTTTGACCAATAATCAAATGTATTTTGGTCAATAAAATGTATCAGAATCTGGTAGCAATCCCATGTGTGCTGCCAGATTGTTTAGCTTGCTAGTTGTGAGGCAAACTATAAAGTAAGTGTACAGTCCTAGAATGACAGTCACTATGCTTGATCAAAGACTCAAGCCATTGTGTTCCAGATTAAATTGAAAAGATGTTTTTTGGGGCAGTTTGCAACCTTGAAATCAAGGTTGCAAACTGCCCCACACATGTATGTGTGGTGTAGTTAATTTAATACCAGGTGTATAGTTACTTTGAAAAAGTAACTTGGTTACTCAACTAGAATCCATTAAATAGAAAATGTGCTTCTCTGTTCCCTCCATTGTTTACTTTTGTGTTGCTGGTGTTATGCGAGACATAACTGCCCAAGGAAAAAGAGGAAAGCAACAATATATGTTTTTACTAAATAAAATTAGACTTATTTAATTGTCATTGCACAAAGACACATAAGTGAAATTGGTAATGAAATGTCATTGCTTGGCCACTGGAGCACACACAAAAAACACAAGTGTGCCTGTAATATAAAATGACAAATTCTAAAATTACAAACACAGTACCTTAGATACATAACTTTAATCTGATTACTGGATTTTAAATAGTAATATGTTTGATTACTCGTTAGAAGGGATCAGATTATTGTTTATGGCATTTCTGCTCAAGCTATTTACGGATCTGTCAGGTTTCCAATATGTGTCACCCCCAATCATAAACTCGTTCCTACGCCCTTGGGCATTATATAAAATAACAATAGTTTATTATTTTTAAAGCAAGCTTTGATCATTGACCATCCAGTTGGTATGAAGTACTGTCATCTTTAATTTATTCCTGAATGAATACTGTTGTTGAATATTATTATTCAAGTGTAGATGAGTGCAATATAAGATGATCATTTTTGGCATGTCAAAAAATCCCTGAAATGATTCAGTTTACTAAAGATTTTTGAATGTTTATTTCCACAGAGAGTCACAGCTGGGTTTAAAAGGACAATACCTGAACTGACAGACAGAAACCTCGACAACAACCCCTCCTCCAACAACAATCTTGCCGGTGATTTTTCTACGCTTGCATACCCACAGAATTTGATTGCCATGGAGATTAATCCCTCATGTACAGCAACAGACCTAGAGACAGATATCTGTTTTAGCTGTGGCAATCAGGAGTCACAGGAACTCCCAGACCTAAAGGTTCCAAAGGTGGAAGCAGTGGCAGAAAACAGAAATGAGAAAAGAGATGAATGTGACTACCTTTATTTTAAAACTGAAGAGGAGAAGGAAAGAGAAGTACAGTATGACAGTGAACGAGAGGAGGAAGAAAATGGTGGGAGAGTAGAAACTGAAGAAGATGAAAGAAGAGGGGAAGTGGAAGGACAGGATGACGGAGGAGTAGACCTAGAAGGAGATATTCAACAAGGAAGAAACATAGTTGAGCACAGAGGAAGAGTAGAGAGGGAAGATACAAAAAAAGAAGAATCAAAAAATTATAATCTGGGGAACAGAGAAATAGAAGGGGCGGATGAAGGTAGAGAAGACACGGATAAAGTAAATATATGGATAACAGGAATTCTGGGGGAAATTAAGCGAGATGCTTCATCAGATCAGATTTTTGTTAATGAAAATCCACAAAGTTTATTGTCTGAGCCCTCAGTTATCCCTTCAGATCCACCAGAATCCACACTACAGGAGGCCTGGAGACATGACTTAGACAACAGAGATAATCTCAGTGAAAGCCACCTCAGTGACTCCCTCAAAGCAGAGCTGGCTGTTGTGTACTCAGAAAGTGATTTTGGGGAGGACCAATGGCTAGCCTTAACTTGCTGTGATGAGACTGACCATTTAAAAGAAAACAGAGATTATGCTGATGACACATACATTGCACAGAGCATGAAGGATGATGAAGTGGAAGAAGTACAAACTGAAGTGCTGAAGTTGGAAGAAAGAGTGGTGGATAAGCAAAATGAGAAGAAGAGTAAAGTCATGGAGAACAGTGAAGAACTGACTAAGTCAAGAAGAGATATTTTCCTGCGTTCTCCTTCGGTGAGCTCCACAGCCAGCTCAACTGACCCTGAAAGTAGGGTATGTTTCACATCACCCATATATTTTCTACCTGCCTTGTCCCCTGCTGTTTAATGTCCCAAAGAGTCAGAAGCTAAAGTTGAGACCAGATGTTGGCAAAGATGAAAGCAAAACAAACTAAAATTTCTGCTGCACATTTTTGCTGGTTGATTGACACCAAATTTGTTTGATTTTGTACATGTGAGTGGGGGGTTTGTTGGCCTCTGATGATGTCTGGAAACTTTTTAATTAGTATCTTTAAAATGATAGTGGTGCAAATAAAAAAAATTTTGCTGCAGAAACCAGCACAAACAGCACAACATTTGACATCAATTTTTTTAAATTTGAAGAAGGGGCAGGGGAAGCTTCACTCAGGTTGCACTGATTCATGCTGCACTGCTCAGTTTAAATGAGCTGTTAGCTCCATACTAAGTGCTTCCAGACAAGCATGATTGAATGCAGTGATTTTGTTTAGTTTAGCAGTGTATTTACACTATCAAATTCTATTAAATTAAGTTTATTTATATAGCACTAATTTACAACATATCTCATATTGAGATCAAACAGTAATTAACTCAGTTAATTATCCAAATTAGTTCAAAAAGTTTCTGACTAAGAAACCCAGCAGATTGCATTAACTTCTGGCATTCACAAATTTAAATGTCAAAACAAAAGCAGAAAAACAGTGAAATAATTGCTTCAGTGTTTGCCCTCATTGTTAATTAGACTTTACTGATGTTACCACCAAATAAATAATTCTCATAACAATAAAAATTCTATTGCCCATCACTATAGAACAGGCATTTAACTATCTCAAGTGTCTTTTGATCACAAACTAAGAGTGCTGTGCAGCCTTTTTGGAAAAATCTCTGCAGTTTTAAATAAAACAGTAGTGTACAAACTTCAAAGCGCCTCACAGATAGTCAGTGGGACTAGAACATGCAGGAAATGTATTATTCTCTATTTTGTAGGCTGAAAAAACTGAACTTTAAATCATAATGAAAAGAATATTTATTGTGCTTTGTTTGAGCAATTTTTGCTGTAACATAAAATAATCACACTTAATCTGATGAAACACATATTAACATATTATTTAAGGTTACAGTTGTCTGACTTGTGGGATTTTGTGTTGCCCAGTGATGAACTGGCAACCTGTCCAAGGGGTACACTGCCTCTGATTCTATGACTGTTGGAGATAGGTACCAGTGATTTAAACCTTCACCATCTTCTTTAACTTGAGTAAGAACATATTTTCTTAGTTTGCAAAGCCTTGATCACTTATCAGTAATATCAGCTTTGTTTTAAAATATTCCTAAACCCACATCCAGGTATAGTTAATCTTTTAATCTTGGTACTGTCTTGAAATCTTCATTCACATGTTTTATTTTTTTTATTATTATTTATCAGATTCCTTTAGATTTCTATGTGCAACAGGAGACCCTCAGTGAGAATGTCTCTACTGAGCATGTGGACTTTTTGGTTGCTCGCCAGCAGTGGAAGAAGATGGAGGAGGAGGTCAAAGGTCTGTCTATCCCCAAACCAGGACTGGGAGCTAAGAGGAGCTTCAAAGGCACCCATTCTTCTTTGTACCCCCCAACTCGATGTCCCCGTCTCAAACACAGGTAAGACAATGCCAAGCCATTGTTTCAGGGTATTGTTTGGAGAAAAGCAAATGCCATATTAGCACAAACTTCAACCAACCTTAAAGCAGCAGTACATAGCATTTATAAAAAATTGTTTGTTTTTTTTGTTGTTTTTTTTACATAAAACTATCACAATGTCATGACAGTGTAATATGAGACAGATAATGTGTGAAAAAAAATCAAACTCTTCTGCCTTCTCCCTATAGTCCTGCTGTCATGTGAACAACAAACAGAAACAACCAGTCAGAGTCTGGAGGATGGTCTTAGCGCTTTTAATAAACCTTGTGTACACGCTACTCACAACCTCCTCGTTTCTCTCTGGTACAGCACTACGGGGCATTTTGTAGAAAAAAAAAAAGTATGGTAAATTACAGGTAGCTGTTGTTGCCAGAATTTTACCATAAAAAATTACAGTACAACACACAAGGAAATGTAGTTTGTCAGCATTTCAATATGAAAAGAAAATAAGTCCAAATTAAAGCTCCGCGGAGCCTCAAGCAGCCCTCGCAGCCAGCCACTGCTCACGCTTGCGCGCCCGTCCACCAGGCGATACGCTTTGATGCCTTCTGCAGAGCTCCCTGGCGATGCACCAAAAATCTGGAGCAGATTGGGCCATGTAGCGAGGAGATACAGCTGTTTGATTAACCTAGGGGGCGTAGTGGAGTCAAATTACAATTAAACTCTATTGGGCTACTTAGAGGTTCACAAGTGTCAATCATAAAAAGTCTGGTGCAATTCGGATGATGTGTGTGTGAATAAGAGACGATCGTATGCATATGGCGAGGGACTTCCATTTGGCCACACCCCCACGGGTCAGTAGGCATTGACATGTCATTTTATGTCAGTCTGCACAGGATTAAACCCATATGAATTATAGAGTAAAAGTAAGACATACAGTAGAAAAACAGACGAGTTCCTCTCGGAAGTGGGCGGGGCTAAGGTGATGTCATCAATTTACCACCTAACTGTGATGAGTACTGGTCAGTAGTGAGACATAGGAAGTCTGATACAGCTGTGACCTCATATGTGGAAGTTATGTAACTTTAATGTTTTATGGCGAATAGTCAAAGTTTGGGACTTAGCCACACACACATGGTTTGACATGCAAAAATTCCTGTGATAACTTTTGACCTTTAATGTCTCAACTCTCTGCTGACTGAGTTTGAAGTCTGTATCTCGAAAGCTGTAGGAGGAGTTCGATCAGATGCGACGTCTATGAAAAACAGGAAATATCTGCTTTGATCCAAAATAGCTGACTTCCTGTTGGGTTTGGACCATGGCTCCAAGAGACTTTTTTGTAGGTCCTGACATGATACACATGTGTACCAAGTTTCATAATTCTAGGTTAAAGCATGGCTTGGGGCTGATCATTTAAAAATTTCTAGGGGGCGCTGTAGAGAAATTAGGCCACGCCCATCAACGACTGTTATGGATTCCTGTTCGGGGATGGATAAGGATGCATCCTAGTGAGTTTGGTGCAGCTGGGCTGAAACATGTGGAATCTAGAGCCAAACGTATGGCGGCGGCGTTCCCTCTGCTTCGCCGCGCTGCCATGGCCACGCCCTCTACTGAAAACTCTTGGCGCTTTAAAGCAAGTGAGACCAACATGTTATCTGTCATCCAACACAGAATCATCTTCATTAGATCGAGCGAGCCAGAAAGGCAGCTTTCCATGGAAAAAAAAGCACTTCCTGTTCTGAGGGGGCGGGGCTTAGATGACGTCAGACTATGACAACATAGGATCGTAGGGGACCCTACCAGGATCACTCATGTCAAGTTTGGTGCAGCTGGCCTCAAAATTGTGGAATCCACAGCCAAACGTAAGGACACGGCGTTACAGGTCACTTCGCCACGCCCACCAGCTCCATCAAAATCAAACAGGGTTAATCCACATTACACCAACATGTTTTCTGTCTATGGACACAGTTTCATGTTGATTATGTCAAAGGGGTTAGGAAGGAACCGTTCAGAGTAAAACATGACACTTCCTGATGTGTCAGGAAGTGTCACAGCACTTCCTGACACAATACCCAAGACCATTGGGTATTGTAGGGGACCCGATGATGATCAATCACTGAAAGTTTGGTGCCTCTGTGAGTTTTTGTGTAAGAGTTATAACAGTTTTGTGTTTCATGGCGATTTGGTGAACTTTGACCCCAGGAAACCCCCCTTTAGGAAGCTCAAAAATGCAAACCTTTGATAATTTTGAATCGGCCATGCCTTATGAACAATCTGACCGAGTTTGAAGCCGATCGATGGAAATCCCTAGGAGGAGTTTGAACAAATGCGACGGTTGTAAACGGCCAAAATCGGAACTTTAATCCAAAATGGCTGACTTCCTGTGATACTTGCACTATGACATTAATTGTAAATTCTGAGTGTCTTGGGGCGCTCTATAAGTATACCAAATTTCAAGTCTCTACAATAAAGTAAGTGAATAAGAAAGGGTCTTTTGAAAGTTGCGAGGTGGCGCCGTTGAGCCGTTTCTTTTGCGATGTATCCGTCAACCTTAAAATATGTAAATTTTACACGGGCTCTATGCGCCCACCAAGGTTGGTGAGTTTTTGAATATGATAAAGCCCCCAAAAAGCCAATTCATTCGGCACGGGGAAAATAATAAACAGCAAGATTACAATAGGCCTTTGCAGCGCTTAGCTGCTCAGGCCTAATTAAAAAACTATGAGTAATCCACTTAAGGAAACAAATTCTATTTCAAATTCTGTTTAAAAAATCAGCAAAAAAATAAAAAATAAAAGTTTCCTGTCCAGTTTCCTCACAGTATTACTGAGATTTGAAAAAACTAGCATATGTGTCCTTATAAGAGATAACTTATTGTAGAAGAAAAAACATAATAAAAGGATTCTTGCTCTGGGTTGAGAGTAACAAGTCACGTAGTCCAGGCTTTGCTCAGGAGGGTGTGCAACACGGACATGGTCTTTTCAGTCACAGGTTGACATTGAGACTCAAATGTTGTCAATTGGGTGTTTACCGCAAGATACTCTCTGCATTTGGAAAACAGAAACAAAGCAAAAGTTAGAATGATGCACTGCATGAACATCATATAAATGAAACATTCGTTTAAATGTTTGTTACACCTTTGTTGACTTGCACACATAACTGAAAATTCAGTCAGAAATGACTAAATTCATTTCTAAACCTTTGTTTGCTTAGAACTGATGACACCTGTCAATAGACAGGTGTCATCCTCCTTGCAATCAGACAAAAAAACACAAACAAAAAACATCAGATAAAGACCTGTTTCAGGGAATTTTCTGTTTTCATCCTTCCATTCTCCCTTTTAGGAAATTTTTTACTTTTTGACATCTGATTCAGGATAGATGATACGAGACAAACTCAATGCAGAAAGATTCTGGTCTAATACCATTGTCCAAAAACAGAAAAAATCCCAGAAAATTCTAAAACAAAAGGGCTGATCACTTGTTTAGATTTGAGCTCTATATCTTGTTATAATTCCATGTTCATGATGGAACATCAAAACATGTTTGCGACATCCTCGGATGCTTGAGCACCTGCCCCTTTGCTCCTTGCCCCCAGGTTCCCTTTTGGTCAAATTTTAATATTTTTTTTTTGTATTATTATTTCCTAAGCCCTCTTCTGACACATAATAACATGTACTAAAATTATTAGTTTTTTTGTTGGGTATTTTTTGTACAACATAGTAAGTCTGTCACCTTGTTACCTTTGACGTTTTGCCCGTGACACATGACGCATTGCCTCTCGCACACTGAGATAAGGCGACTAACTGCGGAGCTCAACGTAGCATGTTCCAGATTACAGAATTTGGTGAATTAAAAAAAAAGCGTTTTTGGTGAATAGTGGAGTAGACTTGCTACTTGTCAGATGACGGAAAACGTTGAAGTATCGTTTCTGCTTCAGCACGGAGTAGTGGTTTAAGCAGAGAGATAATGAAATACAACAGACACTGACAGGCCTCTGCATCTGCCTGTCACTGGAGAACTACTGAGCGGGAGGAGACAGCAAGGTGAGGAAAAACTGTTCTTATCTATCGATTCAGTATTTTTATCATACAGACATTAGGCTGTTGTTGATGAGCTATTAGCTAGCTGCTAGCTAACGACTTTGCTAGCAAAGCAAGATAACTAAAAAGTTTCTTCCCTGTACGTTAATGATAGCAGTCATTCTTCAGTATTGCTTATGCAATACGGGGCACATCGCCCATCCAAAACCTCCAAAACCTATCATCTCCATAATGGATATATGTCTTCTAATTTCCTTTGCCGCATAACAGTGTTGTGGTAC